TGGGTCGTTTTTGGTGTGGAAGTAGATTGTGGAAAGCTGTGGCGAGGGAGGTTGCCGGGAGCTCCGAGAGCAGGTCCGAGGACGAATTATAAGTCGTTGGTGGTTGGTGTGGAATTGTGGTGGACAGGAGTGGCGGGACAGATTGATGGGAGCCTTGAAAGTGAGCCTCTGGAGTTGGATTCGGTGGGGTCAAACGGCTTCAAATGGCTTGACTGGACGAAGACAGGAAGAGGATTTTTGCTGCCGTCAGAAAGCGACGTGCGGAAGTGAAAGAGCAGCTCCAAGACGAATTTTCCGTCGTTTATGGGGTCACATGCCAGCCAACAAAATGCTGAACAAGCCCAAGCATCGGTCTGTGGTGCCCATTGGCGGGGCACTTCACGACATGGTTGGGCGGCGTCGCAAATGCAGCAGCGCCGCATGGCACTACCATGCAGCAGTTTGAAGAACCCTATAGACTATCCCATATGGGTACCGCAGTGGGATCCTATAAGGTCACTGAACCTGGCAAGGGAGATTGCCGGGAGCTCCGAGAGCAGGTCCGAGGATGAAGCGGAGGTGAGGTTTGGGCCTCGAGAATGGCTCCTGGAAGAGGAGAGATCTTTACGGCCATCAGAAAGCAACGTTTGGAACTCTGAGCAAAATTGTTTGGTTAGTTTTGGTGTGGAATTAGATGGTGGACAGAGTGTGGCGGGACAGATTGGCGGGAGCCTTGAAAGTGAGCCTCTGGAGTTGGATTCGGTGTGGTCAAACGGTTTCTGGACGAGGACAGGAAAAGGATTTTTACTGCCGTCAGAAAGCGACGTTTGGAAGTGAGAGAGGAGCTCCAAGGACGAATTTTCAGCCGTTTTTGGGGTGGAATTAGATTGCGGAAAGCTGTGGCGAGGCAGATTGCCGGGAGCTCCGAGAGCAGGTCGGAGGACGAATTATAAGTCGTTGGCATGGTTCGGCCATTGATCCAGTAGAGCAAAAAGATGTGCCCCCCCTAAAATCCATGGAGATGCATTCATGTATTCATATGTTTCTTTGATGAGATTTTGGATTTGAGGTAAAATATTGAAATTCGGATTTGGATTTGAGATTTTGGATTTTGGGTTTAATGAGAGGTCAAAGAATTGTTCTCACACTGGTTGTATATAACTTGTTGGAGCAGGAGGGATCTTCAACAGTACTCCTGGAGATTCGACATCCAGGAGTTTGATCCTACCATGGACTTTGCCTCTGCCAGTTCCGGCGACTTTGACCGGGATGGTCAACTCCACGGAGATGCAAACAACCTCCTTCCTGCCCCTCGACTCCAGCCCTCCAGCGTGGAGTCTCTGCTTTCTGTGCTCCAGGCGCACGCCCCCACATGGGCTCAACATCGCCCCAAAACCGCCCCACCCATCTCAACAACAAGCACCCCAACCACGACTACGACAACCCACCACAACAACAACAACAACCACAACCACCACCACCAGCAGCAGCAGCAGCACCACCACCACCACAACCACAACAACGACCTACAAGCGCAGGCTTTAAGTCACATCAGCCGGCGAAAAGTCACATCACCCCATGGCACACCGCATTGGAAGGAAGTCACATCAGGTGGAAAGAAGTCACATCAAAACATGTAAACCCCAGTGGCGCAAGTCTTTAGAAAGAAGAAAATTGCTCAAAACCTTGCCCATACTGTGGAATTTGCTATTACTGAGTATGTTTTGTCAGGTTATTGCTGTGTGAATCCCACTGTCACATCCATCATGCGCACGTATGATTGCAAAGAAGTTGCTCATCTCCTGATGCAACTTCTGTCGTCAACTTTAGTCACATCATCAGGTGACTGGAAATGATCCGCATGGAGGTGCCCGATGCGATCGGGTCACATTAGGGTCACACCAGGTTCCTTTCTACAAGGCGCATACTCTTTCGCACCGATTGCCAGAAAGTTTAGGTATTGTATCGCGGCAGCAGCAGCCAAGCAGCAGCAGCAGCAGCAGGAGGATATGGTGGTTCTAGGCGAGGCCCAGGCGAGGTCCAAGGCAGCACATCCCAGCCAAAGCACCATGCCAAGCCCAGAAGCACCCAAGCTCCACAGTGCACATGGCCACATGCCCAAGATCCAAAGTGCACACAGCAGCACCCTGCAGCGGCACCAGCACCCAAGCTCTCAAGCGCACACAGCAGCGGCACTCTGCAACGCGCCAGCACCCAAGCTCCCCAGCGCACCCTGCGGCGGCACCAGCGCCCAAGCTCGAGCACGCAAACACGCAGCTCTTCCTACACTGGAACAACAGCGGCACCCTGCAGAGGCACCAGCACCCACGCTTGAAAACGCACACATGCAGCTCTTCCTATACTTGAATGAAGTAAGAACCCTAATAGCTCATGCTGTCTGTTGAAACACATTCTGCAATGATGCAACAAGGTTGTTGAATCTATCACACAAGCAAGCAACGCATGGGCGCAGCATGTTAACATCAGTTTGTAGAACAAATAGAACAACAACAAACATCCATAAGTAAGCCACTCCCCAAGGGCACACCATTTTGATACGATTTTCCTCCAGTTGATACGACTTAAAGCGAGGCCCCGGTACCACAACCACACCCGCAACCACATCCACGCCTGCAACCACCTCCATCGCAACCACGCCCACCACCGCACCCACAGCCACAACCTAATCTACCACGACCACAACCACCACCACCGCCACGGCTACAACCACCAAAACCACAGCCACCACAACTACCGCCACCACCCCCCACCACCACAACCCCTACACCAACGACGACCGCCCCCTCCTCCCCAGAGGTGGGCCCCTGGCCGGCTGTCGGGCGTAAGCCCTTGAATAATATATCTGCCCCGTCCAAACCTGGCATCACTGGTCGCTATGGCTCAAAAGCCCCAGTCGAGTGGTCTTTGACTGAATTTCATAGTTGAAGAATAAGGGGGATGTTACTGAGTAAAGTGGCCAAATGTTCCATCAGCAAATGTTCTGATGTTCTTGTTGAATCTCTATTCCTCTCACAGATTGAGCACTTCACAGCGAGAACGTGCCCTGTTGGCCTCAGCCTCACCATAAACCTCGTCATTGCTTTGATTTTAGCATCAGGTTACGTATCCTCCTATGTCTGCTCTTGCTTATATTTCTTGAGCAACTTGCCTGAGCCTTTCTCTCGCCTGCTCATGAAATTTTACAAAGCCATCTTCCCGATCCCTTTTTTATCTGTCGTCCCATTCAACGATAACTCTTTGGCCGATGTCGCCCCTGGGTAGAGGAGGATCGCCTTGTTTACCTCAACAGGGGAAAACCGCTGTGGCACCAAACAGTTACACGACATTGTGCTTCCAGTTCCTGAGCAAACTTAGGCAGGAACATGCATGGCTCGCATCTTGACTCACCAATTGAGGATAGAGCGGCGCAAATGGAAGTTCTCCCCAAATCACTTCTGGAGCTGAGGCCTTCCATGTAGGTTCTGGGACGATGGGCTCATTTTCATTCTCTTTGAATTCAGGCAGTGACGGCCATCGGATGGGCTCTTCAGCTGGCCACACGGCCGCTTCATCTTGCCACACGGGCGCTTCATCTTGCCACACGGGCTCTTCAAGCGCCGGGGGTTGTTTCACACCCTCTGGATCAAGGACGACCTTCATCAAGGAAAGTGCTGGCTGGGTTCCACCAATTGGATCATGGCGAACGGGGCTGCCATCCCTTCGTTCAGGTCCTCCTCCCGCCCTTTGGGCCCGTTCGTACTCCCGCCGGTCGTCTCTCGAAAGGGCCAGCCGTTGGATGAGCTGTGCCACCCGGGGGGCTAAAGGTGCACCGGTCAGGGGAGCTTCTCCAGGTTGGGCATGCCTGGGAAATCAACGAAAGCGATAGACATATCTAGACATATCTAGACATATTCTAGCAAGCCGTTCAACAGAAACGTGGATGGGACACATGACGTTACAACCGGCACATGCAGTTTAAATTCCCGCAATTCAGTGAATTCAGTGTTGTTGTTGGCTGAACGCCGCCAAAAGCAATGCCAAAAGACACCTTCCTTTCATCCAAAAAAACATACAAATACAGTCAAACATGCCATCATCTGATCTTTCTCACAGGTCTAGGTCAAAACATTTTGAATACAATCAGGTGAAACAAAAAGCATATTACCTTGAGGCAAGATGCTCAACTGACCAAGTGAAATCAGCAGGATCGTTCTGCAGGTCAGGCTGCGGTGCAAACGTTGGAACCTCTGAAGGCTGGCCTGGCCACTCATCCTTTGGAGGCTCATCTTCAGGGTTTGCTGGAAGCCATTGGAAACCCCACAAGCGAAACACAGCAGGCCAGCGACAAGACACTCCGGAAACTAACAAAATAACGGATTGAATAACGAAACAAGCAATATCCAAAAAACATCCTTTTGCTTGTTTGGTTGTTTTCAGTCTTCAATCCGGCTGAGGGAAGAATATTTCAATTGTGCCTTGCCTGGACGCTGTGGGGCCGACGGAATCGCGTCACTCATTGCCTCCGTTCTCCGTTCGCGCCCACGTTCGGCAAGATAAAGATCCCACAACCTGATGACGCGGGACAGTTTTGATTCAGTGTTCCGGAAAGCACTGGGGGATGCCCAAAAAAAACGGTTTCTCACGCACACGCGAAAAACCCGCCACTCATGACATCTAAATTGCATGAAATTCCCCCCCAAAAGAAGAACTGAGACAAGTGACAAGCTCTCGGCTTCAAGCTCAGCTTGAATGATGGTCTCAAGAGCTGGAGCCTTAGCTCCACCGGACTCACCTGTTGCGGTTTCACCAGTTCTGGGCCCTCCCAGTTGTGTCGTTGAATCCAGAATCCGCAGAGCTTGACGCCTCTTGGATGCCACTCGGTGCAGTTGAGCCTGGCAAGTGGAAATGGCGGACTGAAGCTCTTGTCGCTGCGAGTCCTGAGTGTGTCGGTGTGAGCCCAAAGCTAAACGACACGATAAACCACCTAGTAGCTTCTTGCTACTAGTAGCGATGGCCTCCGCCCTAATAGGGATGTCCGCCACCTATATACCAGCTTCTTGCTGGACATATTAATAAGGTTTGGTCTAGGCGACAACATTGGTGGCGGGTTCTCAAACCTAGCACTGCAATGCATGGAATAGTGAGATCTCTCTCATTCTCTTTCTCCCTCTCTCTCTCTTTCTGTCTATCCTCGTGATTTTGAGTCTTGTCACCTGTACATGCTTCGTCCATTTCGTCCATTCTGTGTGGCCGGCAACTCTTTTCTTCGCACTTTTGGAAGAAAAGGACGCCCCAAAAGAATATGAATAAAGATGTGGCAAGATTCCAGCTTCAAGAGCTGATCATGGACCCTAGATGCAGTTTCAGGCTGATCGCTTTGATTGCAAAGCTGTGACCACAGCACCTTCCGACGCTCTCCCGCTGCAAGCAGCATGGACCCTTGGATTCGGAAACGCTCAAGAGAAGAGACAAAAGAAGATTTGAGCTCAAGCAGGAAACCTATCTAAGTCCAGCTAAGTCCTACCATTCAACCAAAAAAGTTGCACTTGTCACCCAAGGGCGTTGTCGTTCATCACAGGACTGCGCCTTCAACCTGAGGCCCTTGATTCGATCCAGTCGTTGGCGAGCTTCCTGTGACAGAGCAGCCCAACGCCGAGTACACGCAGCCTGCAGGGGCAACACGAAACCCTTTTCACTCCAGGCCCCCCAGCATGGGCAGGTCACTGGCTCCGGAAACGGCTCAACATGGACTCTTTGGTTGAAAGCACACACTACACCTGCCGTGCATGCACATGCATCTAAGATGTGATTCTTGACGCTTGTGGTCTCAAAGTGAAGGGTTGGCTTCGGTTTACTTGGCACGATGGGTTATAGACGCTCTGCCAAAAAAAGAAAGCAATACGGCAATATATGTATATATATATATATATCAGAATGATATACCTAAATGTTTTCTCTGGAATGTTCTGGAACAAAGCACGTCACGCTAAAGTACACTTGCCCATCCCTTCTCCTCTGATCGTTGCAACTCGGCAATCGTCCGCTCTCCCCTGATCAAAGCACTCAGCACCTGATGAGGCCGGGCACCATAAACAATTGAAGTGGTGTTCATGAACATTCAACCCTCAAAAAACAATGTACAGCCCGCATCATAAAGCTCAATCTTTCAAGAGAGGCGCTTGAGCAGCATCGGATCGTCCCAGTTCCTCCTTGCTTACTTTTTCATGCCTTGGCTGGGATGAAGCCTAGGCCCAAAGAACACACGCCCCTCAAGTCCTCAAGTCAGTACAACCTCCCTCCCCCTTTTCCAGCAGAACTCTCCAAGCCACCAATGCGAAAGGATGCCTAGTGTGTCGGGAGCCTCTTCCGTCGGCCGGCTTTGTGGCGCCAGCTCTTCGAAGTCAGCCAGCCGCCCGCGCAAGCGCGCAGCCACCGACAGTTGCGCCAACGTGGCTTTCTGACCCTCCGTCACTTTGGGAGGGCGGTTCTTTCGGCTTTGCAAGGCTTCGGGGATCTTCACCTCGGATAACTCCTGCGCTCTCTCCAACAAGCTCGCCAGCTCCTCTTGAGGGGTCACCGGTCGTTCCGGCCGCTCGCCCTCGTCCACTAGGCCTCCATGGAGCTCCTCCAAGCGCTCCACGGTCTCCGCCAAGGCGGGCACCACGGCATCCACCAGGCCATCGGTGTCCGGGGGCTGAGAGCTCATGAGACCCCCCCTGCTGCCCCAAGAAGGCACCCAACGCGTCACATGAATCGCATCCAGCTGGATCAGCGACCAGTGAGAGTTGGGATATGTTTGGAGGTGGTGGAAGTTGCCAGATATGTCATACACAGTAAATATTGAATGTATTTGTTGTCTTATATGATGTTTAATGTTATTTACTTTTTGTGCACATATGCTGCAAACACTGCGCCCATCATGCTCCTCTCCAAGATGAACCGAGCCTCACATTGTAGCATTCTATGGACCAAAGACAAGTTGGATGCCACCCCACCCTCTGCGTTGACAATGTCTTTTTTCCAAGTGATCTGCAAGCATTTGCCAGCAAGAGAAGCGCGCTCACAAAGCCTGCAAGCCTGCAAGCGGGAAAGTGAAGGACGAGCAAGCACACAATGTCATCGGCCTTGTGTATGTGTATTGAAAGTGCCCCAGCAATCACGAAAGTGTTTGGGGTGTAAGGGAATGCGGCGCTTGAGCCAGTTCTGCCAAAGTCTTTCACTGGTCAAGTCATTTCCATGCCGTGTTTTTTTGCACCCCACAAGCTGCCAAACAGCAGCAAAAAAGTCCCAATACAAGTTGTCTTGAAGGAAGGTGAGAGAGTCTGCGTATCAAGAACGTGAGCACCAATGATCTGTGTGCTGGTGAGCTGTACGATACTACTCAGTTTCTGTAATCGGAGTGCTGGTGACCGTCATCATCATGGTAGAACTTTAATCGCGATGAAGAATTGTTTTTGGGTCAGTGAGCGAAGGAGGAGCAAAGAAGGATGAGGCGGTAGTGCTCAGGGGCCCACAGTGATGTGGAGAACCAAACAGCTTTATATATACAGTATATATACACCAAAAAGGGCTGAAGCTATCAATTCAACAAAATATGCTGGAATCACAATTTGCTTCCAATGACCACGTGACCCACAAAAACAGATCCAGATTGGGGGAGAATGCGCCTGTGAAACAGCTTCAACATATCCCAAAACCAGCCTTCATGAGCCTGACGCATCTTCAGAGCCTTCATCACCTGCGGATCCTGCAGAAGGAGTGTGCTCACATCACCGAATGTAGGCTGTTGATGAAAAAGTGATGTGAACCTCAAGGGGGATTGAACCATGTCCAAAGCAATAATCATCCTGCCCTGCAAATGATTACAATTATTTAGGGGTGGATATACAGTAGGCGTTCTGGTAAGGCCGAGTTGCCATTCATCACTCTCATCACTCTCATCACTCATTCCCACATCCCAAGAAATGCCCCCCAAAACTTGCAAACGCCGCCCTGACCCGGGTGAACTTGCTTGGACCCCGAGCCGATTTCTCGGCCTTGTGATCTGGCCTGGAGTAGGGCCGGTGTCTCGCCGCCGGACCATGTCTCCACGCGTCGGTAGGCCAATTGATCGAAGTTGAGCTTCGAGATCTTATGGCGGTTCTATCTCAAGCTACAATGTCTGATAGGCCATCTGACCATTGATAGGCCATCGAAGTTTCATGCGTTCTCTATCCTTTTTGGCGCCTTCTGACCCCCTTGCATGTGTTGGACCTTTCTTGTTTTGAGATGCGCACTAGTCATGATGGCCCTCCAAATAGGCAAGCGATTAGTAATCAGGGCACTCTATGACATTTGGCCACTTGCGGATGTTGATGGGTGTTGCCACGACATACAACGACTATAAATAGTGGATGACAAAAAATACGGGAGTTTCGCAGGGTCCCGAGTCCCCGTGGGGCTACGGGTCAAGAACCCCCTCTCGCATCACGGAAGAGTCGACATGGTGCCCCGAGGTTCCATGGTGCCCCGAGGTCCTTTGGACCTACATCCAACATCATCCAACCATTGGAACTGCCCCTCCGATCGATCCAATGACTTCGACACCACGCGATGGTTTGCTCTCCTCTGAGGCCCCGCGCGCTCCCCCTTCGATCTCGGGGTGCCCGATCTTTGGGTGCCGCACCCCCTGCGGACCAGCTCGCATGCAGCTCGCAGCACGCAGGTCTCTTCACGCTATGTCATGAAAACACCTGGTATACGGCGCTTAAGCCCCGGACCACTGTACTTGCTCCAGGCGTCCATGCAATGACTTAGCCGGGCGTGTTCAGTCGTGAGATGATGTCATCAATGAAGAGACAATGCCATGTCGTGCTTGAACATCAAACCTTCCAGGACTACTCAAGCACACCCAATGCAGCACCTCATTAGCTGCTCTTTTTGGCGCCGCACTTTGTCAGCTGCCACGGTGCAACCAGGTTTTAGAATCAATGGGAGTGAGAAGAAGACTGAACGTCCAAGGTCCATCGCTGGGATTCACCATAAACTGGCTTGCCTAGGACCAGGTGCAAGGACGATGACATGTCTCTTGTGCAAGTTCGGCCCTCTACGCCCTACTGGGGGGACCCACTCTACCACCCACCCTATGTTGCCGTGGGTCAAAACCTGGGCACCCTGGTTGACCCCGGATCAGTTCTGAACCGATTCCTCGATGTTCGGATTTGGTCCACCGAGCTCCGGGGACTGGTGGGGAGGTGCCATGACGACGAGTTGCTGTTGCCCAAAGCTTGGACCCACCTTCACCAACTCCACCAACGCCACAATGCGCTGTATCCAAATGAACATGTATTGGCCTTGACTGTAGGTTGGCCTGGTGAGGCAGCAAATGTCTATGGGAGGTATTTTCCAACTCTTCCATGCTGTACCTCGACGCAGACAATTGAGCTCCTTTCGTCATCGCTGGCCGCTGCTTGGCCTTCCCATCTCGAGGATCATCCACCTCTGCTGCAGCGTCATCGCAGGAGTACTCGAGCAACAAGCCTTCACCGCTGCTCGCCGTGAAAGCTGCCCACTGCACATCGGCCTTCCCACCATTCTCACTGGGCACAATGTACTGCACGTGGGATGCATCAACATCGCGGCAATGAACGGTCCAATCAGATCCTAGAGTGCAAGGCGGCGCAAAACAATGAGATTCTTAACTTGCTCTGCCCCCACAAACTGGCTCCAGCCACCTGCATCCTTCACAATTCAAGAAGAGACGGTCTCCAAAGAAAAACATGACACTTGAAATCACTTGAAGCTCCATTCCCCCCATGCAAATACTTCACATTGTTCTGTCTTTTTAATGGATGCCGTACTTTTCATTATCCTGACCATGGGGCGCAGGTTTGGGCATGATAGTCCTTGTATTCGCACATCGTCATGTACCCTGTGCTACGGTCTTGCAGTTTGCTGGTCGAATCTAGTTGTTCGTCTTTTCACGACCAGTTTGATTTGTGATTCATGTGTGGATGCTTTGAAAAATACCATTTGCGGTGAAGAATACCGTTGGATTTGCCTGGGCAAATCCAACTGTAAAAATACATATATATATATATAATATCCATCTAAAAACACGGCCTGGTTGCGGTAAAACATGATCTTGGCATTCATCCATGGGGAAAAGGCACGGCATGTCAGTCGCGGGCGTAAACGAGAGAATCCTTTTTGAAGAACCAGAGAATCCTCATTGTTTAGCATAGGCGCCCTTTTGTTCTAGCTATTCTCTACCTTCCTTTGGAGCAAAAGGCTCTGAACCAGCGTAAATCTAAGCCTAGCAGCTACTCATCCGGTTCATTCAAGTAAAAGAATACGTCCATCACCCAAAGCAGGGGCTTTGTTCCATATCAATATCACCGCACATTCGTTCCGCCCCCTGGCGGTTTTCCGTCTTTCCCGACACACCCATGCCAGGCCACCGGCTTTGCGGTCTGGATAGGACTCCTGTGGCCCATAGCCCAGCCAGGTGAGTTGACCGAAGCGGTTCGGCAAAGCGAAGCGAAGCCCCACACGCGGCAAGCTGGCCAGCTTGGCCTCGCAGCGGCTCAGTTGAACCGGAAGTGGGGGGGACATGACAGGTGTTTCATACAAGTCCTGCATACAAGCGAAAGGTCATACAGTCATTCTGGTGTGAAAATCATTTGGGCAAGCTTGAGGTATAATATATATATATATACAGTATCAGTACACGTGCTTGATTGGGCACTGTAGCTATCCCAGGAGGGTCAACTCGTGAGTCGGAACATGACATCGACACAGGGGGTTGAAAATCAAACCTTCCCTGGAGACCTTCCGTTCCTGGGTCACATCTGTGGTTGCTGGAGCTCAAGTAGCTCAAACAGGAAGCAACCGGGCGATCTGCTCACATCATATCTGCTTTCTTCGACCAAAAGAGGTCCGAGTCCAGGAGGTCAAGAAGAAGTTCTGTGAAAGAGCTCAACGACACCGGTCTGTTCGGCTCAACGACAGTTATTGATTTAATTAAGTCTGGGCAGGACCTCCGGTGAGTTTCTAGAAGAACCGAGCAGCTACTGCAGAGCGTTGGCTTGCAAGTGTCACACGAACAGAGAGACGGATGTCCTCTAGCAAACTGCACTTGGAAACAAAAAGACTTCACATCACATGAGGCAAAATTTGATACAGTAATTGCTTCACACCACATGCCTTCACACCACATGTTTGGTCGCTCCAAACAACTTCACATCATATGTTGCATGAGCACATTGAGCAGAACTGTTACCCGGTAAGCCGTGCCCCCTGACCTCCCGGAAGAGATGTCCTCAGCTGTGAACGTGTATTCGCTCTTCACTCTGAAGCAATCGCCGCCCTCTGCAGAGAAGACTTCCACAATCGACAGTTGCGCCCCGGTCCACTCACCTGGGGAGCGCTGAACAGGCAGCCGGTGAGGTCTTCAGCGAGAAAAGACCGCGGTCGCGCACGAGGTCTTGGGCGGACCAAGCCAAGGAACTGTGCTCAACGAACGAGTGCAAGCCATCCAAACCGACTAACTTCCACCTAAACCGCCGCGGGCACACTGGGACACCCTGGAATGTTTCAGAAAGCAGCATTAACTTGTGTCTCAGGTTGAGGCGATGCATTCAAGGATAAATAGCCCAGCATGTCCAAGATATGGCTGACAAATGGAACCTGCAACTAAAACCACCGATATCCGGAAGTGGGTGCCCCCCTGATCCAACATGTCAAATGATGTCAATTGAAAGGCTTCAAACAATCAGGATGGGAACCAATCCTCGCCTTGGCGAGCCAGGGAACGAAGAAATCCACGCCACAGCGATCATTGTCCTCGGGTGTTGGTTCTGTTTTCATACGGGGTGGGGTGGGTACTTTTGTGGTCGGGCATGAAAAAAACAAGCCAAGTACTTCTTCAATGCCACTACTATGAACAACACTGCCCCACTACAACTGGCCATGAGCCTCCGTTCAACCTAGTCTTGCGCCTACTTGGCTATTGGCCGCCGGGCCGCCAGTACTTGTTGGCACCACAAAAATTGCAGCCGCCAGGTTCAAGTTTGCCAAAGAAACAACTTCTTGTGCAGATTCAAGTTCTTTGAAATGCTCGCTAGAATTGTGTTCCTTTAAAGTACAGCTCGATCGAACTGGAATTGGCCGGAGCTGACTGCATTGCACCTGCCAAAGAAACCTGAATGTCAACCCTCAAAACACTTGGAATGTCCTCTGTTACTGTGCAAAACCCTGTCTAAAGAATGGGCGCGGCACAAGAGCACACTGGCCAAACCAAACTTCTTAAGTGAGCGATGTTGCAAATATTTTTTGCGCGAGGGGAGGTAGGTCACTTAAAACGGCACTGTGGAAAGGACTAAGGACGAAAGAACCAAAACATGCCCAAGTTTAAAGCGGCTTAAAGCAAATCCCAGGCTCGATGGTTGCTCTGGAAAAGCAAGCTCGGAGTCCACCGGATAGGAGTTGCACTCCACTTGAACTCTTGAGTGACACCCTCAGTTTCGGGAAACGTTCAGGCACGATTGAATGCTTCCCCGACCTCAAGCTAAACATGTCTGGAAACTTGTCACATTTCTATATGGATTCTATGGATTCTAATGATGAGAACACCGCGAAGTGTGTTGGATACTTCATCCTCCCCTTTCTCTCGATTTCTTTTGCATTACTGCCTGGTAAAAATGTGACGAGTCGTGGGTCCAAATAGTGCTTTTGGGGGCGCAGATGTGCAGCCATACCAGGAAATCTAAATGGAACTGAAACACGTTTTTTCTGGTCCTCCTTAGGTCCTTCCTGAGTTACGCCAGTGGTTGAGGTTGATTGATTAATAACAACACGTCCGCCGGCTTTGATGGGTGCTCTAAAAGCGGATCAGGAAGTCTCACACAACATCAACCACCCCCCCCCAAAATTAGACAACCATGAACAAATATGAAAAGGGACAGAAAGTCATCTCTTTCTTTCCTTCTGTCATTCTTCTTTCTCTTCTTTCTGTCTCTGCAGTTCTCCGCCACCATTCCACCTCTTCCGCCCAGGTGCCTGGCATTCACCACCTCCGCCCGGTAGTTCGGCGCCGTGACCACGGTGCCCTGAGCCTCGTTGTGCTCCACCACCGCAGCACCCGGGAGAGAGAGGGACTTCTTGGGAGCTGCGAGACCTGGTCAAGGAGTCAAGGCTGAAACATCAGGACATGTATTGACCCAAATAGAAAAGTTTTGAACACCCCCTGCAAATCTAAGTCTTCAGGAGACATAGTTATATAATCATCTACATAAGCTTTGGGGAGCAAAAGTGAGACACTTCGCATCACATCCCATTTACTCAAACATGCTCAGACACAGCGGCCCCACTGAATTCTACAAAACCAACGGCCAGAATAAAAAAGGCCCCACCTCTGCAAACAACATGTGATGTTCCCGACTTCACCGTAGGCAAACGCATGGTGAAGCAGCAATCAGCCACAACAAACCTCGAGTTCCAACGGGCTGAGGTGATCCTCTCACTGTATGGGCCGAGGTCACTGAGGTTCGGGCCCCGCGTCGATTCCCTTGGAGCTCTCACACTGCTTGGCTTCAAGGAGCACCCAAAGCCCAAACTCACCAACTCCTGCAAAAAAAGGCCATGTTTACCAGGATTCTTTGCGCGATGATTATGTGCATGCTGGCCCCAGCTTCGTCATTTCAACGGCCTCGGACTCCTAGACCGGACCGACTCAAGAATCCAAGAGCACCTCCAAACACCCAAACACATCACATGCAAGGCCTTCAGGTGGCTGCGAGACCTGAACTCTGATCTCTTTCGAGTCACCTGGCGAAACGGGTCAAGGCGTAAAACATCGCCAAGACCTGTCAGAGACCCGCAGACGTCATATGGTTTTGCAAGTCGTCATTGGTGTTGTTTTGTCATGATTGTGCAAGAATATATCATGGTCAAAAGGGCCAACTCCGTCGAGAATTGTATCTGCACATTTGGATGTAGAAAATCCATGAAAATCCCTGTGATTGTAGTCTTGGAGAAGCTTCGAGGAGCCAGGGGCTTCCTTCCTGTGCTCACCGCCGGCTCAACACACGATGACAACATCAGCTATGTGGTGGCCACCGTGCCTGGCTGAAGGCCACTGAGGCTGTGGGATCCTGTGAAGCTGCAGCTGTGAGAGGCTCCTGTGCCATCACGAGCAGACCTCTGGCGAGAGGCGACAAGGGGAAGAACTTCAGAAGAGCGATTCGAACCATGCGCAAGGTTGCGTAGAGTCAGTGAAGGACAGCCTTCTGCTTTCTGCATGAACCTCAGTTTCTATGTAAAGGCACCGCTCCATTGACGACTCCGCCGAGTGGCGCCGACAAGGTCAAATGGCCCAGATCTTTGAAGCTGTAGCGATTCTTGACCTGATGGATTCACCCCGGTAGGTTTCCTAAATCTAACATTGCCACCAGGCGGAGGAGGAAAATCCATGAAACTCCTGCTCAACTTGTCTACGTGCTGGAGTACGCCAGACCCTGACAAAAAGCCACCCTGCCTCGATGACCAGCTCAGAGCCTTCAGACTGCACTAGCTCAAAGGCCACAGGCTGTTGTAAACGTTTGAAGTCCTCGGGCCCAACACAGAGCTGCAGGCAACTGCAGGTCCCAGTGGGGAGGGACACACTGGGAAGGTGTATCAAAGTGTCAGACTGAGATGGCCAAGCAAAAACAACTTCTACGGCTCTACAAGTACCTTGAGTCTCCAAAGACCTTTTTTTTCTGCGTTTTTGTTTTTGGTCTACTATTTTTGCGTTTTTGCTCGAAAACGCGTTTTTAGAGCTGAGGACTCTAAAAAAGGTGCAGAGTGAATCTTCATCCGGACGTGTCCGGCACGGACGCTTAAAGACGCCTTTTGGACGCAAAAAGACGCGTTTTGGACGCCGAAAAAAGGTCTCAGGACACTGTCTAAGGAGGATCTGACAGGGCACAAACAAAAAAGGAACATTTCATGACATATGCAAAAAAGAGTGCTTTCTTTCAAAAACCTCTTTTTCTTGGAAAGGCAAATTTAAACAGAAGGGGTGGCCATGGGGCCTGGGTTTTGGTTTTCCATAAATGTTCATAAATATTAGGTAAATGCATCAGTGCCACAATCAAAACCAAAAAACACTGATAAATATGCATAAAGGATAAAAAAACACATAAGAAAAAAACAAAAAGAACCAAAAACCATGGGAAAACAAACAAACTAAAAACACAATTCTGGGAGACTCTTGGCTGGACCCCCCAAAATCAGAAAAAACAAAAAAACCTTGGGAAAACCAAAAAAAACAAAAAAAACAAAAAAAACAATTCTCAGAGACTCTTGGCTGGACCCCCCAAAATCAGAAAAACCAAAAAAACCTTGGGAAAACCAAAAAAACAATTCTCAGAGACTCTTGGCTGGACCCCCTTTTCCTCAAGACTTCCCCAGAATTGGCTTTTTTGTTTTTTTTGTTTTTTTGGTTTCCCCAAGGTTTTTTGGTTTTCTGATTCTTCTGATTTTGGGGGGTCCAAGCAAAAGTCTCTCAGAATTGTTTGTGTTTTTTGTGTTTTCTCAAGGTTTTTTGGTTTAGCATCTGAACTTACTTCTCACCTCAAGGCATCTGTTCTTTTTGCTTACGTCTGAAACCGTCTGAGCTCAACACTTCCTTCGTCCTTGTCCAAATCTCCATATACAAGTCTGAGTGCATTAACTGCTGACTGGTATCAATGCGGTTGCCACTTGCATTTCCAAACAGCTTGACATGCAGTTGCGAGGACACTCTGTCCTTTACATGAAACGGTTGGAAATCTTTGCGAGCGTAATTCTGTGCTTATAGCTCAAGCGTTTACATCTTATTCTGGCGAACTTCTAATTTTAATTCTAATTCCTGTCTAATTCAAATCTCATCTAATTTCAATTAGGCTATAGTTATAGTTCAATACAAGTTTATTAAAATTCGGTTTTACTTCAGTTTTATCTTAGCTCTAACTCAAATCCAATTTAATTCTACCTAATTCTATTCTAGCTCTAGTCTATTTAGTTTAAGAAAACACATTCTACAAAACCCCGTGTTTTACAGTATTTTTTGCTCTGGAAGTGCTGGGAACAAGACTAAAACTCTTTTTTGAAGTAAATAGTTAGATTTATTTATTGTCAGTAATCACTGGAGATAATATATACATATTAAACATGTTTTATGTACAAGCTTCTAATTCAAGAGCTTCCCTCTAGATCTCTGGGGATGATCAATTCTACAATAAAACTATATATAAGCTTTCCTTTCAAAAGCTTTCCTCTGGATCTCTGGAAATGGTCATGTCAATTGAAACATACTATATATCAATAAATAAGTCTTTCTTTCAAGAGCTTTCCTTTCATGAAAACACATATAGGGATATCTACTTTCCCAGAGATCCTGAGGAAAGCTTTGAAAATGCAAGCTCTTGCCCGCAGAAATCTAGAAGAAAGCTTTTAACATACAAGGTTTCTATATGGTTGTTTAAATCTAAACATGATTATCTGCAGAGATCTATAAAGAATCTTTTATAACATAAAAGAGTCTATACACAATCTTTCCAAATCTAAACATAATTATAAGCAGAGATCTAGAGGACAATTGTTAAAATAACCACTTTTATGGCATGCTTCTTTTCTAATTATCTTGTTCCAAACCATCTGAATGACTGATTACTGCTTCCAAACCATAATATATTTGTTCATATAGAGTGAGAGCAAGAATAGATATGTGTGTTTATATGGAGAGGGGCTGCCACTAAAGCATGTACCTAAAATTTTAGGGAAAACCAAAACCCAGGCCCCATGACCACCCGCTCTCAATTTAAAAGGGTCATTGGAGACTCAAGGTAGGTGGAAGGGACCCTCAATTATTCTTTCGCAGCCGCATGCCCGAGATGCCTAAAAATCAACAGCAAAGCCAGCCAAGCCCATGCCAAGCCCATCCAACACCTCTCCAAGACCATTTCCGTTCTCTACGACAGGCGACGAAATATGCAGGATGAGGAGAGCGATCAGGAAACAAAATCCCATCCACGACAAAGTTGGCGTCTTGTTTGCCACTGCTCGGTCCGAAGTCTCCTCCGAAACCATACTCACCTGAGCTTTATGTTTAACAAAGCAACGTTGAAAGACTGCACACATCGTTTCTAGCCCTGGCGTACTGCTGCTATTTGTAAACAAACTAATAATCAATATTGATAACATACCTATCCATCCCAGGCTCACCCTTTCACTCGTCACCATTCACATCCAAGCCTCCTTCCAGCCATGGGTCTCCTATCTTCCCTTTGGCGCTTTCCAAATCAAGCACGCTTCGTCGTCGATGCACCTTCGGCCGTTCCAAGTGATTCCGCATGACCAGCCGCGCCCAGCGGAGTCAGTGGTGGGTCCACTCCGCTGGAAGACTCTGAGGGTCACATCGACTCAACCGGCCGCACTACTGGTCAAACGTCTGTGAAGCACCGGCCTTGATGGCTCCATCAGCCCACTCCCAAACAAAGCCTCCCTGGATCTGCCGATGTTCCTGCGACATGGGACGAGAAACGGGGCTGTGAGGATAGGGAAAGCATCAGACACAAACCACGCACCAACGGTCGCGTCCGTTGTTTTTGGGACGACCACGGATTCCAGGGAGCCGACTACTCGGCAGATCGAAGACTCTGTTGACAGAGGTGTGCGAAGATCCGAGGCCGAGGCATTCCGCAGAACTTGGATAAAATCCGTATGTTATAACCACAACCGAGGCATTCAAAACCATACCACAACCCTTTGGCTGTGGATCAAAACCGGCAAACCCGCTTTTGGTCACCGAATTGCGTGCTGAGGCGCGGGTGCAGAGGACCAAAAGAGCTGCCAGTATGAATGGAGCGAGCCATTGGAATTTCCAAGTGCATGGCTGTACTCACATAGAATCACCTCAAAGTGGCTGTCTGGGGCCTGTAGTTCTATGCTACTTAACATCATTTATGTGAGTGGTTAGGGGCACTTGAAGTTGGAGCCCCACTGGGAGCACGCCAAGAAAAGAAAATAAAAGTAGGGGGAGTCCTCCACATCTTTTCCCCTCCGCAGCTGAGCATCAGGTCTTGGGTACTGTGTATCTGGCGCCGCCAGTGGCAAAATCATTGGCGGAGACCAATACCTGACGAGGGCTCTGGAAGGATCCTCTTTTCCCGGCGGCTCACCCACACCGAGAAACAGGCGAGAGGTCGATTGTCTCCAGGTAGCTTCTTGTTACTAGTAGAAATGCACGTGTTCCTAGTAGCAAGAAGTTTCCGACATAATTCCATATGCTATGTCCATATCTCATGTCTCCTCCCAGCCTAGCGTAGGCGAATGTCTGGCCATCCTAGTTCTTGACCAAGCTAGATGGTCTATAGAATGTAAACAACTTCGAAAAGGTATTTCAACCACATGGGGAGGATTACATTGATTAAAATAATCATGACAATGACTATTAATCAACATTTTATATATTATGAATTCCAACTTGCAGCCACGTGGCATCGGACAAATGATGTCGCTCGATGGGCCTCGCGTGTGTTCTTACGCTTTTCTTGCGCGGCAGGACGTCTTGGGACGTCTCTCGATGACTTGACGCACTTCGCTCAACCTTCTGCATCTGACCAAGCCGTGAATCATTAAAAACAATGTGCAAACCACACCGTTCTGCCAGACAAACAGCATTGGGCGACTTGGCCTTGGCCATCTCCGCAGAAGAACACCGCATCACCGTGACCTTCGGCCCCTTCATACTGCACGGGACGCCGCTGCGGATCCCACTGGCGCAAGGCTTGGGCGCAAGCGGCGAAGTTGGGACCCCAGCCGCTTTCATTCCCCAAGGACCACACGATGACGCAGGGATGGTTCTCGGCTCGTTGGAACATATTCCACGTGCGATGAAGAAATTGTTCTCTCCATGCCTGAGCAGGTCCCAAGGCCCATAATGAATGACTAGCCAATTAGCAAATTTAAGATATGTAAAAACAAACATGTCAGGCCAAACAGGCTGCTGGGCCCCTGACCCAATCACAAGCCAGCAGGGAGATGGCCAGGTTCTCCACAAAGCCATGGGTCTCGATATTTGCTTCATCTACCACCTAATTCATCATGGTGAAAGGATCATCCACCCACAAGACGAATCAATGCTTCGAGTTGACACTGGGCCAAGCCACATAGAGGCCATATTCATCACATAGTTCGTACCATCGCGGGTGGTGTGGGTAGTGTGAGTTTCTCACAGCGTTGAAGTTTCCTTCTTTCCTCGGCAGGTACAGGCACACCCTCTCAAAGTCTCAAAGAAGGGCTGCTGAATGTTCGAATATTGATGCATCAAAGAATCAGTTTTTTGATGTCTATCAGCATGTCCTCCTCCGTGATGGCTTTGCCACGGGTTGGATGCATCTCGTGGACGTTTGCTCCAGCCACAGTGATCGGCTGATGGTTCACACGAAGCTGTCCATTGCAAATATCAACACATCCTCAGGCACCCACGGTTGCACTCGAAATTCAACATCTAAGTCCTGCCATGGTGACGTACGTCACTTGTTTCAAGCGGCGCGGCATGATCTGCGACCAAGTGTCGAAAGCCGACCTTAAAATGTTCAGCTTGAATGCATGTGCCAGAAGCAGACACCAGCTCAATAGTCATGGCATACAAGTATGGATCCTGGTGTCACGAATGTCAAGATCTCAGGCATCAAACAAACAGTCAGATTTGCAGGAGTTTCATGGTCCCACTCCGTCCACTGCTCCCACATACAAAAACCTGACATCCACTGAAACCGTCTGCAGACGCGTTGACTGTTCAGTGCGTCTGTTGACTGTTGGGTCTCTTGTCTCCTCAGCGCTCCAGGGTCGCACGCCAGGCACTTTCAACTCAGCTGCCGCGCCTGGGCTCGGCGGCTCGGCGGCTTGGCCCGTCGACTTGGAATCAGCTGGCTTCTGGCCTTCCATAGTCTCTGTGAAGGCAAGGCACACCAGCACTCTTCCTCCGAAGACTCAGTGTAGCTTCGGGATTTCTCTGGAACCGCGCTGCAAGATGTCAAGGCATCGGAGCTACCAGCAGCACTTAAGGAAAAGCGCATGGAAGCTTTCGCGGCAGGGCCGCTCAAGCGGCAAAGTATTTTCAGTTGGCCCTCGTTGCCTTCAAGCCAAGTCTCCGTGCTGTAATCCTAAGTCGTACTTGAGTTTCCATATGTTTCCATGGCGCTTGGCACGGTCTGCACCAAGCCATTGCATCAACAAACATGCATTCTGCCACAAAGCCATTCACAGTTTTCATCAGAGAGGCAGCCAAAAAGCAAGTGTCTGGCACCTCAGCTCTTCCAGGACAGTCTCCAGATGCATAGCAAGAGCTGCTTGGCTCTATAGTGATCCTCAAATAGATAGACACCGTGTCAATAAATCTTTAGTGGGGATCTACTTTTCTATTCTATCTATTTGGGGGTCTATGTACAGTCAATCTGATCCATTGAGCCAGCAAAGCCCACCCCTGCTATTCCGCTATTCCCCTCATGAGCCCGCCCCTCGTGCCGAGCAGCGAAGTGAAGCTCGACCGTGCGGTGAATTCCCGTGAGCCACCACTGATCCTGGTCCTAGGCAAGCTCGCTTTTTAAGTTGGAGGCCATAGCCTAGCTAGTAAGTTGGAGGAAAAGCTTGACCATTGACTCTGGTGAAGCTGAAGAACCCTGTTTTGTCCTTGCCTCCAGGTAGCTACCATCACACCACATTGGAACCATGGCGACCAGCACCTCGGATGGCATCAAACAGAGTCACGTCAGTTTTATTAGGTCTTGATTTCACAAAGAAAATCGCCAGCGCTGTCTGCACTTGTGCACCTATGTAACTCATGCATCTGCTGACTGTTCATGGCTCTTAAAAAGCTGCCATTTCTAGGGCCATCTAGGGACCATGTTTCGAAAAGCTGCCATTTCTGGTAGGGCCATTATATTCTGGGGCCTTTGTGCATCTGCGTCGCATGGTCTGAGAGGTGCTGATCCGACAGCAAGGCCTCCGAGACTGAGGCGCCTGCGCCGGTGAAAGCGGAAAGCCAGGCGTCCATTGAATGCACAATTACTGCGCAGAACAAGTGTATATATATAATATAGACGTATGAATATAAATATTTATCTATATCTCTATGATTATATAATACTGTAACATTGACGTCAATAAATTGATTGTTCCCTTCCATGGCCTCCACTCTCTGGCTGCTTGCCTTGTTTCAGAGCATCAGTGATGTCAAATTCAGCCGCAGTCATCGAGTCCTGGGAATAGCCAATGTACCTAGGCCATTGGAAAATCCGCAAGAGCAGCTCTACAACCACAACAAGTCAGGCAAAGAAATGAACAGCTTGTTGCCAGGCACGCTGTTCGTCGAACGGGGGCAAAGCTAATTCAACTTACTGTAAAGTTCTTTTGTTGAGCTGGGTGAGTTAGCTGAAGTTTGAGGGGTCGACTGCAGGTGAGGTTCCCCGCGGGCCGAAACCCTCCCCCCGTGCCCGACCGCCCGGGGTCCATCAGGCATTCCACGGTGCTGCCCATCCACCCACAGCATCACGGCAGAGCCCACCGCATGGAAGACGAGGTGGACCCTTCGATCTGCATGCTCGGGTGGTACGTGGAACACCGTCCGGTACAGGCCTCCGCGGGAGACCAAAAGGGGAAGATGGCTGAGAATATGCGTGCTTGGATGCCTTGGACATCAGGGTAGCATGAGGCTTATTGGAATCGCATCCATCTGGAATAATGAATAAGGCGAAACAAAGCATTCTCTGTCCTGTGGGGTTGTTGCGCCCTACGAAAGGCGCCATCAATAACGGCCTTGGTTCAGGCCAAGGATCTGCATGAAGGATCTACCCGATGAATGACCAGTAGCGGTGTGTCAAGTGGCACGGACGTAAATGGGAAGGTGATGTTGGTGTAGATGGGTGTGCAGATGCCCAACATCCTGGACGTGCAAATGCCCAAACCTGTTTCAGAACTTGAAACAAATGGTGAAATGCAACAACAAATGCTCCAACACTCCGAGGTGCTGCCAGTTTGAGGGTATGGGCACCTCATCCCAATGATGGTCGTCAAAAGATTTTTGACGTGCCTGAAAGAAGGCCTCCAAAGATTCAGGGTGGTGCTGCGATCTTCTTATAAATGCGAAATTGCAGAAAAAAATCAGACAAGGCAAAACGAAGCTCTCTCTCTCTCTGTGTATCTCTGTATCTTTGTATCTATCTGCGTCCGGTTTTCCAACATTTGCAACGTTCGAAATGTGGAAGACGGGGTGGCCGGATGTGGCCGGTTGCCCGGGAAAGCGACGGGATGGTGGGGAGTCCTGTCAACCACCCAATAACATTAAACAGCGAAAAGCAACGTTCAGATTGGAAAACTCTTGAGAAGCTCGGGCCTCAGCAGCCTTTGGATCAGGAAAGATCTGTAAACGCCAGGTCTGCTTGCTCAGATCAATCACTGAAGGTGAATGACCTCCTTCCCTCGCAACCTCAGAGCAAGTTTAGATGCTTCAAGGCTCTAGGAATGTTTTAAGATGTTTTAAGTGTTGAGCATTATAGAGGTGAAAGTTGTTGATAGCAGTTTCAGTGAAGTCTGACTTGAAAGAACCACAACTCTATGCCCTGGCTGCCGCTGCCTTGGCTGTTCTACCTTGCCGCTTGGCAGCTTTGGCGCTGGGATAATATCTCAGGGGCGCATGCGCTGGCCTTGGTTCACGGTGCATGTCCCCTCCGGGCAGAGGCGCAGGCGAAGCGCGGACGCAGGCGAAGCGCAGACGTCACAAGACCTGAGGCACAGGCCGCTTCCTCAGTATCCGAGAGACGTTGCAGTGCAGGGAACCACAAGTATCACAAGTAAGACGGTGAGTTGCAAGACTATAAAGGATGGCACAAGTCTTCCAGGCCGAAAATCCACCAAACCGCCAAAGCCAAGGCTTAGCCGGCTTAGCCTTCAGACACACCAGCCGCACACCAGTGTGGGTTCTAAGTGCGAGTCCCTTGGGCAAAGACTTGGCAATCTTCCCATGGATGACGTCGGCAGAAACGCCAGGGAAGCCACACGAGACGTCTCAAGATGTTCACCTCGGGGATCCGAGGGGCCGGCTTTTGAGTGATCGTGCATGGGCGATCACCAAGGGAATCCACCATGGCCAATTGGCGTTTTTAGACCTCCAAGCGCTGCCTTCCTTGATCTTTTATCGGGAGCTTGGGAGTTGTTGCTGTCCGAACCGTGTCATGGTCAATCTTAATCACATGCCTTGCTTTGTGCAGCCACGCGACCACCTGCAAAATGCCTAGCCGCCATTGCCATGAGCGGCGATTGCAGAAGCCGAGAACCGCCACCTCGCGCGAATCTTCAAGCTTTAAAGTTCAATGTCCCATCTTTAACCAGCGGTCCCTTACATTCAAGGATCATCCAAGCACCCAATTCAGTTCATCTCTACCTTCATTATCCTTACGATTCAGTCTGGATACGTCAAAGTCTCTGGACGGAATGGTCGCATCTCCAAATGAAAACCGGCCATTAAACCTTGATTTCCCTGTATACCTTAAAGAGCCAGGTGAGGTATTAATTTGCAATCTTTGCACAAGACCCGTCTCAACGTCGACCTGCTGATTGTCCAAGCTCAAAGAACTCAAAGACCAGAGTGGGGAGCAAAATTAAAAGTAATTAATTCAATGAGATTGGAAAAACACAAAGAATTCGTGTAATTGCTGCTGTGGCACCGTGATGGCCGCACCCACCAGCAAGGTCACGATCCTAAGCCGCGAGCTCAGCTCGGATCGTAGGAGTGCGAACACAAGTTCGACCGTTCGACCCAGCGACCACAAGATGCCTTTAGATTGCTTTAGTGTCAAGAGTCCACAATACACATGTACAACAATGGATAGCTGACAACCGCATATATACATGGTAATTATACGGCAAAAACGTGCAGCAACGTGTGAAGAACACTGGTGAAACTATGTGAAACTGAGTTCTAGCATCAGCGTTCATCCTGCTCTTTTGATACTGTCACGGTCTTACCTTACTTGTCAGCCCACCATACTTACATTGAAGTTTATGCTAACGGCTCTAAAACCGTACGTGCGTTTTTGCGTTTTTTGCTTCTTGGATGTTTTGTGCACTTTCCCAGAATATATATGTATGCGTCTATGTTGCATCTTGACGTTGCGTTTCACACATATAGGTTAACGTTGCACACTGGGTTGGATGCTACGTTGTGCTATATGCTGGTGACGTTGCACGGGGTGGGGGGGGGCATGTTGACGTTCCTGTGACGTTGCATATGTATGTATATTTCTGTGCATGTGAATATTTTTTCTCGGCAAAACAGTTTTCATTACTGTGTGAGCATTGCTGCCTTCACGATGCATTTCATGTTTTTTAAACCTGTTTCGAGCGGTGGCATGTTCTGGAATGTTTGTGCGCGGATAAATTGTTTCTTGCTGCTGGTTGCGGCTCTCAGGATGAATCAGTTTTTCTGCATTGCACTGTGCCTCACTTATATTCTTCTCTTGCGGATCGCCCGTTTTCCACGTCCTCTCATTTCAGGTTTCGAATCTGTTCTCGAGGTTTTGTGGGAATCTCCCATCCTCTGGTTGGACGACTTTGTGAAAAGGTTCCGATCGAATCGGTGAACATGTGTGTTTTCTCAGGTTTTTTCGTGTTTCAAGCGAATTTTGCTCCAAGTTTTGGACACAGAATTTCCGATTTACAAGAGGTTCCAAACCCTCTTTTCCATTGTTTTTTGCAGTGGATTTGCAACACCTCTGAAGTTGGCGTGCTAAAACGCACGCGCGGTTTTAGATCCGCCGGGAAGTTTATGATGGCCTATGCTATGACAGCCAGTGAGAACCACCAAGTGGTCCTGCTATGCAAGATGCTGACCACAAAAACCACAGTACAACACCAACGAGAAGAAGAAACAAATTCCCGCGCTGGCATTGGAATATATTGGAATGGGGAGGGGAAGCGAACATCAAATCCTGTCACATGACACCGCCGGTCAGTGCGAATCCCTGAGTCAGTGGAGTCACTCCTCCAACCAAGGCGCCACTCCATGGCCCCCATCTGGCTAGTCTTCACTTGAGCTACTGAAACTATCTGAAACTGTACACTATCTTTCCATGCTCTTGGACATCCGGGACACTTTTGTTGCACCGAATCATCGATCAAATCCTGTATGGATCGGCCATGGCCATTTAGGGAGATGTGTGACCAGAGGATTGATGATGATTGACCATCACTGTCTTTTCCCCTTGTTTTGGCATCTGTTGCACGAATCAAGCTGCGAGCCACAGCTGCTGTGAGATCTGTGAGCAGGGACGACCAGCTAGACCTTTCCCAAACCAATTGAACACCGCTTACCGAGGCCTTGACTCATAGCCCAGCCCTAAGGCGATGAGAATGGCTGAGAAGGCCATGAAGAAGGTGTTCACAGACCTCACAAGACATCCTAAGCGGAACATACCACGAACACAACTTGTTCACCATTCCGGCTTTTGGCCTCACCGAAGCGCCGTTCGGCGCTTTCGCCTCGCCTTCTCTCGTCTCATCGTCCATCGGTCCAAACCTCCAAGGCTGTGGCCCAAAGTGATCAACGCCTCCACCAGTTCCCGACGGCCTCGGGTCGACACCAAACCGCCCCGCGGCGCGAGATGCCGTGCGGGGGGCGACGCCGTGCGGGGGGCGACGCCGTGCGGGTGGCGAGGCCGTCGCCTGCGTGGGCCGCCGGGGATCGTCTGCGTGGAGGCTTGCGAGCTCACGGCTTCCGGGCCAGCAAGGATGTCCTCGAGTGATCAAGCGCTACCCACTACCCAACTTGCCCTGCATCTGGGGAATGCTTGCCCACAAAGATGATCAAAAACGTCGAAAGCGTAGAAAATGGTGCCCTGCCTTTGGATGTTTCCTACAGTACTTCATTGACGACGTCAGCAACTCAGGAGTCCAATCTCTATGGGTCTTGCACTTGCTTCACATATAATGTATAATCTGTTTGGACCCCATACCATCCCATACCCCAAGATTAGCTTTCACAAGGTCCTCAGCATCTGAATTCACCTGTCCTCGTTGGCTTCTGGCGGTGGAGGCTCAGGTGGTGTTTGGACATCAGGTCTTGCCGCCGCAGCCGCCCGCGCATCCGGCACCGGAGGTGGAGCAGGCCCGATCTGGCCGACGGCCGACCTTGAACAGGTCTGATTATATACGTCGAAGCTTGATTGGATGTTGCAGTTGCCTTATGGTGAAAATGTGTCAAAGCATGGTATGACTTGCATGTTTATTTGATGTGTCGTCATAAGTCATGACAAAAAACACATCACTACAGTATGTCATGCACAATATGACTGTCCGACAGTTTCTCTTCCTGTAACCCCTCGAAATGTCCTCAGGCGTTGGCGCAGGCAAAGCCGGAGCCTCTTCAAAGGAAGTTCGGCTTGGGCGGATGCCCGGGCTGATGCCTGAGTCGTATTCGGTGGCGTTGACGGCCGTCCCCAACCGAAAGACATACAAAGCGAAGAATCAATCAGGCGCCAGTGGCGCCATGCTCTTGTTCACGACTGCTCTGACGAAAGCTTGGCGTTTCAAACCCAGCTTTTCGGGTGCTTTTACCATGCTTTTTACCTCGCTCTTTTCGCCCACCTGTAAAGAAATCGCGAGCCACCAGGTCCCCAAGGCCGGGCATCTTCACCCTCCTCACGGGGCCATGTGACCGGATGACAAAGCTGAAACGATGGTCCCTCACGTGCAAAGCCATGTAACCGTGCAGGCCGGACCGGAAAACCGGTGCACCAAGCCGTTCCGGAGAACTGAAGGCCTCAGTCCTCCAAGTCTAATATCATTTATATATCATTATATCTATAATCTCTGAATCCATTCGCACGTGAAACTGAGCCTCTCAACACTTGCCGTCTAGCTTGCAGAACAGGTGCCTCTCGGCACCAGGTACCCAACGCACATCCAGCGTCGGCAAGTGCAGGGCGGACCAAATAGTAAATAGTCTCTACGTAGTCTATGCCCCTACAAGAAAAAATCAAGACAAACCGGGTAATTATGTCAGCTGCCCGTATTGAAAGTATCCGGCTGGGCCTGACCTAAATCGTT